GGCATTCCTTTCCTGTGAGATTCTGTAACTAGGGAGGGGGTAGGGGAATAGAACAGAAAAGAGGGGGAAGAAAAGTTCTGGTTTGAGAGTTTCCCTCTGGCTCATCAATGAGTCCTTTCAGGGTTCCCTCTCCCCAACTAAGTGATCATTTCCTGTCCAGCACACTACACCCATTGATGGGGTATCAGCAAATCCCAACAGTTTACGCCGGAAGGACACGAGGAGACTGGACAGGAGTTGATGGGGGGAGAGGAAGAAGGCAGGAGGGTAAGGTGTGGCTTTCAATCCCATATTGTTAGATTAAGAGAGGATTTGTAATTCAGGAAGCTGGCTCACCTTTGGCTCATCTCATAGATAGAGCCATAATGACAGTGGGATAAAGTCAGGTACTTGGAGGCAAACATGCAAGCCTGGCCTCTCCTAGATGACTCACCACCAGCGGCCTGCAAAGGAAGGAGTGGACCTTGGTTGTGAGGGCCAGCAGTGGATGTCTCTTCTGTGTGTTTTTATAGGCCTAAACCAGGCTCATAGCCCTAAGGAAGAATCTAGAACCTCTCAGCTTTCCCTTCCTGGTGTAGGAAGGGTTGTTGCCCAACTCTCAATGACTCTGCCTTGTCTGGTGCCTGCCTCTGATAAACAGCGGTGGGCCCCCTAGTGGCCATGTCTGTGTTCATGTCTGTCTACCCTAGACCGTAGTGATTAGTGCAGAGAGGGCACCTGACCCAAGTCAGGCCAATCAGAGTCTTGCCTGGGATTTTTCAATTTGGAACTGGGAGAGAGTCAGTCTCTCTGCTGTTGGGAACCACAAGATATGAAATTTGGGAGCTACTGACAGCTGAACTACTGATGACAGTACCCAGAGAGAAGCCAAGACAAGACAGAGGGAGAGCGGTCCTGGTTTCAGGTGTTCCTGAAGCCACTGCCTCTCTCCCCTTTCCACCATCTGGTTGACTGCATAAGCTTCCCTGGTATAGCCTTCCAACCAAGTCTCCTTTTTGTCTAAGCCAGTATGAGTGTAAAACTATTACTTGTAACCTAAAGAGGCCTAATCAAATTAGTTGGCAACAAGGGAGGTGTCTACAATGGAACTGTGGATCCGTGCTACCATCCCCCTGTGTGACATGCCTGGGTATGTTAGAGAGACACACATATCATACACTTGTACAAACAGGGAGATAAGAGCCTTATTTGGTTAGACAGACACAGTGGTATGCCCCATTTATGTCTGTAGTTCAAGAAACTGCTTATTTTTCTGTTTCAGTCTTTTCTGTGTGTTTGCTTTTCTTTGCCTGCAATGATGTGGTGGCTTGTGTCTCACCCTGGATGTTTACAGACACATGTCTGCTCAAGTACCCAGCACCCACGGCCAACCTCCCGCCTTTCCGCCCTGGCTTACCACCCTCCAGACGAAGGAGGGTGACAAAGCATGACTGTTAAGACCATCTGAGGAAGCCAACGAAGCCCCAAGTATCTGCCTGCATCATCCAAGACTGAGCCCAACCCAGCTTGACCGCCGAGGTTCCCTCTTCTGTCCCTCTGCTCTGCCTAGACTCTGACCCTGAGAGCTTGGGAAGGGGATTCTCTGGATGAGTGAGGACATGAGAGAAGCCAACCCACCAGACACTCAGGCCAGGTGTGGAACCAGGTGTGGAACCAGGCACCATCTGAGCTCAGACCCACTCACCTGCAGGTCAAAGAACTTGCTGTACCTCCGGTAGATGGTCTGGGACGTGGAGTCGGACCAGGTCACGTTAATGATGTATACCTGTGGGGAAAAGATAAGAGCAGGTGAGTGGGTGACTAAAGCAGGGCCTCAAGCTGTGCCAGGCATCATTTTACATGACTGTGGGTATTCCACGCCAGGACCATTCTTTTTCTCATCTTTGTCCCCAGGGCTTTAGCACAGTGTCAGGTAGACATGGATGCCACACATGTGTCTAAATACACACACACACACACACACACACACACACACACACACACACACACCTAGAAGGGTATTCAATAAAATGCTAAGGATGATTACCTTAGGAGGGTAGGGTTACAAGTGGTTTTAATTTTCTTCTTCTTGTTTATGTGTATTTTATACAATGAACATAAATTTGGGGTTGTTTAAAAATTTAAGTAGCTTATTTCCACTGGTTCTCAAACTTTACGGTGAATGAGATTTTGCAAAGGGCCTTCCAAAATTGCAGATGTCAGGACCCCACCCTCTGAAATTCTTCATAAGTAGACCTGGGTTTTGGAGGATCAGGCATCTACATTTTATTCTTTTAAACAATTTTTATAGAGCAGTTTTAGGTTCATAGAAAAACTGAGCAGAAGGTACAGAGGTTTCCCATATATCCCCACCCCCACACATGCACAGCCTCTCCCATTACTAACATCCCTCACCAGAGTGGTACATTTGTTGAAATTGGGCATCTATGTTTTAAAAAACCCACTCCAGGTCATTCTGCCACAGTTGATCCTCAGTACACACTCTGAACCCACTTCAGGAGACTGTAAACATTTCAGAGATGTGTGGTTCATCCCAGTATCCCTAAGTCTTAGCTCTGCGTCTGGCACTGAGTGGGTGCTCAGAAACCATTCTGCTCCATTGAACAACCAAACTGACCCTCTGGATGAGAGGGAGATTTACAGGAGAGAAATTAGCACATGGAAGATTTGTAAACTTTTCTGAAATGAAGGCATTTCAGGACCCCATTCCCAATGTCACCCCAGTTCCCAGTGCTCAACCAGGCTCTGGACTACTGCCTCAGGCCACTCTGGAACGCTCAACTAGCCCAGGAGGTGGGTGGGACTCCAAACTGGAGGAGAGAAAGTCCCAGGCCCACACAATCTGTCCTATATTTCCCACCATTTCTGTCCCTCTTATCTGAACTCACACCAAAGACACGCCTTCCTGGGAGAGGCTTCAGTTAGAGGGAGGGTCCCCTCACACAACCTCAGGGCTACTCCGCTGAACTTCCCCACAGTGCCTGTTGTGATGTCTCCAAGCACAGCGTTAAGGGAGGGCGACCCAGGGTTAAGACGTGGGCGAGACCTCCACCCGCTTCCTCCCTCAGAGGAGAATGAGCTGCTGTAGGTCACAGCACTGGTTCCCCTGCCAGGATGCCCCGTCCACCAGAATCACCTGTGGAACTCCCTAAAAACCCATATTCCCGGGACTCTGCCTAGCGATTCTGATTCAGGAGGTCTGAGGGGACTCCATCAGAGAGGAGAACAAAGTGGTCAGAGAGGTCAGGGTCGCAGCCACTGTGAGAAGGAGGGAACATTAGCACAGAGAAGGAGCATTTGGAAACCTTGGCATCAGATTGGCTGACTTCACCACATGCCTGGAGCAGGGCTCTCTTGGTCTGCTCGGGCTGCTAAAACTTAATTCCATAGATGGGTGACTTAGACAACAACATTTATTTCCCACCGTCATGGAAGCTGGAAGTCCCAGATCAAGGTTCCTGGTGGAACCTTCCTCCTGGCTTGCAGATGGCCGACTTCTGTTGTGTCTTCACATGCTGAAGACAGAGTGAGCTCTAGTCCCTTCCTCTTCTTATAAGGGCACTAATCCCATCATTGGGGCTCCATCCTTGTGACCTCACCTGAACCTAATTACTTCCCAAAGGCCCCACCTCAGACACCATCATACTGGGGATCTGGGCTTCAACTTGTGGATTTGAGGGGAGGGGAGGGGGAAGGCACGAACATTTACTTCATAGCAAGAGTTCTGCACACAGGAGTATGAGGCTTTATGTTTGGCTGCTCAGTTAACAGCCAAAGAAATGAGCTCTGAATCTACTCCCTTCTCCCCTCCGATCTCTAAGTCACAGAGTCAGCCTCGTGCCGTGTGGAGTGTTTGTTCTGAAACACACCCAAGGAGAGCGCCATAAAGCAAAGCAAATACAGCTGAGTGTTGCCACCCTGAAATGGGGTATTTATGATATGACATGTTTTATGTGATCCCAATTAAGAAAGACCATAAAGTGAAAAGGCCATCCCTATCCTCACAAGCCCAAAATAAACTGACATAAATAAATATATAGGGATATGCTTTGCTTTGTATCATATATAAACATATAACTCACACAATAAATTGTAGAAACCATTTAGGTAATGGTTACTATGTGCCAGCACAGTGTAAAGCACTCATATGCATTAGCTCATTTAATCTTCAGCCCAAGAGGTAGCTACCATTGTGATCCCCATTTTGCACAAGAGGAAGTTGAGGTTCAGAGAAGCCAAATAGCTTGCCCAAGGTCACACAGCTAGGAAAATACAGAGCAAAAGATTGAACCTAGGTCCAGCTGAGTCTAATCCCTATGCTCTTAACCACACTGGACTGTCTCCCTATATGTAAATTCAGGAGTGGGGATATTTAATCAAACTACTTGATGAGGACTGAATGGCATTTTTTAAAATAAAGTTTTGGGTAATCTGAAAAGTCTGTACAACCCTTGAGGAACATGGGGGAGGAAGGCTAATTCTGAGAGCCTGAGACCAAGAAGAGACAGAACTTGGCCCAGACAGAGATCAACGGTTAAGAATGCTACAAAACCAGACAGACACAGAGGAAACTCTCATACACAACTGGCTTCACCGACTGTGGCAGGGTGCTCTACGGTTTCTCACAGGGGTTATAGCCCACCCCATCCCCCCCTGCTGACCCCCAGCTCCTTGACTCCCAAATCCTGCCAGCTACATCTCCCCTCCCACCTGCATCTCCCCTTCCCACAGATGCTGTGCACGACAGGTACTGCCTTCCTGACCTCTGCACAGGCAGATGCACCGTAGGGAGGCCCCAAGTGACCGGGCCCTCTCGGGAGAGAGTCTGCACTCGCTCGCAGGCCATTAAACAGTAGTCCTTCTCCCTGGCCAACCAAGTGGGACCCAGAGGAAGGGCTTAACTGGGGCTTAACATGACCCATGCTCCATCCTCCCTAGTAATTAAGGGCTTCCCTTCACCTCCCAGGGAGAATTAATCACAGGCTCACTGCCTCTGGCAGCTGGGAGGCCTCTCCTTTTGCAGAGGAGGAACCTAGGACCAAGGATGGCAATTTGCCAAGGAAAAGGCACAGAGCCTGGAGTCAGCCACTCCCCGGTTTCACTCTTAGGACCTTCCTTATCATCCGGCTGTGAGACCTCAGCCCAGCCTCTCAAGACCCTCAGGCTCTCTTCCTCTATTCTATGGGCACAGCCTTCAGGGCTACGAGGCCTGATCCACTATGTTGGTTTCATTGCAGGTGTGCTCACCCCGTTAGTGGTGGAGCTGGGACAGGAACCCAGACCTCCTAATTCCTAGTCTAGGACTAATCAGCACGTGACCAGCGTACACCTGCCCTAGAAAAGTCCTTCTTCCTTGACTACTGAAAACAGTTGAAGCGTCACAGGGCATTGCCACTATCTAGCACTTGACCTGAACCCACAAGGAAGACAGGCCTCTGGTGACTTACATGTCGGGGTGGGGAAATGAGCCTCCGCCCTCTGGTTCTCCCAAACCTCTGCGATTTGCCAGAGCCTCCCAGCCCCACCCCCAGCCTACCCTCCTGGAAAAACAGTGTAAAGCCTGAGTTGAGGAAACGGTCAGAGACTTCCCCGGGGGTAAGCCCAGAGGGCCTGTGGACAACCTCCAGGCCCCTTTCCCTCATCTGGGCTGTACGCTTGTCTGCTTTCTTCCAAAGCTTGACCATCCTAGATGATCACTCCAGATGAGCAAATGATACACAAAATTCCAGCCCGACCCACATTCCCCCATCCCCAAATCAGAGTTTCTCAAGCCTCCCTGAGCTGGCTGTGCTGGAGCCCCTAGCGATAAAACGCAGAGAAAGAGCAGGTGGAGGGCAAGGGGGAGAGGGCAGAGGTCACTGAAGAAAGCCAGCTCTGTTTACCGGGCTATGTCAGGGCCCCAGATAAACTCTCCTCTGGCTGCAGGAGCGACCAAGATAACGTTACCCAGCAGCTGGTTCCAAGAAAGGTTTGCAATTAAACACCCTGCTTCCACACACTGTACTTGGAGTTATGTTTCCTGGGTGGAGTTTCCCTTCCTTCTGGATTTTAAAAACTCATGGATTCTATTACCCCATCTCTGGCCACTTCAGGCAGATGGCAAGCATCTAGAAATTGCATCCAGCCCCCCCCGGAGAGGAAGCCCCAGAGCCTCAAGTTCACCTGCCAGGCTCACCCTCTTCCGAGGAGGGTCTCCACCACAGACACAAGTACAGAAGCTCCACGACGCCTCGGTCCCGCCAGCCCACCCGTTCCAAGGCCATCTTGGGCTGCCTCCCATCTGCTCAGCTCATTAGGCCCAGAAATGTCTGAGGCTTCTGAGACTTCCAAGTCCTGCTCCTTTCAACAAGGAAGTGGCCTTGATGCAGATCAGACCCGCAGCTCAGCGCCAGAGCACTGAGAATGAAGCCCAGCCCAGTTTCCATGGAGGGAGGTCCATGATCAGACCTGGGCTGTGACCAATTAATGACCCAAAGTTATGGCCTAATCATTCCTAGAAGGCCTGGGACCTGCCCCTGTTTAACTAGAAAGTGCCAGTTAGTACCCATTGCTCCCCGTACTGATGAAAAGTACAGTTAGAGACAAGGAGTTAGGAACCGTGGGGGAAATCCTCTACCTTTGTGGCACTGTGGCTCAGTTTACTAAGGAGGCCTTTCTCCCCTGGACCCCTGCCAGCTGCCCCAGGCCAAATGGAAACTCAATGACAATCTTCCTTCACCGGCTCCCAGCAACACAGGGTGGGACCAGTTGGCTAGGACTAGGGCA